CATTCATTGAATGTCCATGAATTACTGACTACACTACTAATTAAAAATAAATTAAGTTACTAATCAAATACTGGGAAGTCTAATAAATATATATAGAGTTTCAGATTACATGAAAGTTTATAACACAAAAAGTGATTATTGTTAAGAAAACATTTTGGAATTAAGAAAACTTGTCTATAGCTACTTTGTTAAGACAATGTTTGGCATATTTCCTTTTTCTTGTCTCCACATCTGGTAAGCAGCTAGCTAAATAGGGTAGTTTTCAGGTTATTACTCAATTATCTACTCCGTATTAGTTTTTAATTATTTTTTTTTTGAAAGGAAATTTTTAATTAATTTAAAAGTATAGCCAAACTAATATAGGGAAAGTAGATAGATGTCAATTAGCACTGATGTTTTTTTGCAAAGTGTATAATTAAAATAATTTTAGGGTTTTATTAGGTGCAAAAGAAACATTGTACCCACAATGTCCACATTACACCCAATATAAACTCTAAAATTTTACATTCGCTTTGACTTAATCAACGCTTCAGACATTTTTAGTTAATATATATTTTTAAAAATATAATAGTTAATTATATTAATTATAAAAACATTGTTGTATCTATAATTTTGAATGCTCATTCTTATAACTGTACCTTTTGTTTTAATAAAAAAACGGATTTTTCCTCCGAGCGCACATCCAAATCACGAATGCGGATAAATATAAATCAAAGAATTATACCTTTCTCTGTTCACCTCTTTCACCATTGTGTCAAAACTTATCTCACCATACTCAAGTCCCATTATGGTAATAAGTATACATTTTTTTTTTCTTTTAATTTCTTTTTATCAAGTATTGAGAAACACTTATATAAACACTCAAATGAAAACTAAAGGTACCAACTAAACTACACATCAAAATGGCACACACATGCATGACTTTAGATGAATGTATATATACCTAATTGGGATGAAAGTAAGGGAACACAGTTCCTTTCACTATCTGTCCATATGTACACAAGTGGGATGTCTAATAAATTCACCAATATGCATTTTCACATGCACTTGCTTCCCATGAAATATATATATATGGATGACAATGAATTGAGTATTACCAAGCTAATTAAGTACTAAATTTAACATTTTAAATGGATTTGAGTCCTCATAAATAGTACTAAATAGATTTTATGAAGGGTACGGTATGGATAAGTATAAAATGGATTTCTAATGTGTTCAAATAGTTATATACATAATTAGGTTCGAGTTTGGAATTCTTTAAATGGGTAGATATATGACTTATTGTCATGTGTGTACAAGGGAGTGGGGCGGGGGGAGGTGGATCATAGGAGAATTAGACCTTTGGAAAAAATTGATATATAACTCATTCTAGACATCGATCTTCTCGTTGCGACACTGCAAAATGAATCAAGCTAAACTGCAAAATGCATCTAATGGTACGTACATGTGCACTTAAATCTGTGATTCTAAAAGGGTGAATCTAAATATCTAATGATATATAAAAGTGCAAAGCAGTTTCATATACCATTGGGTGCACTTTAAAAAGTGTGTGTGTGTGAATTGAAGCTAATTGTTGGAATCCCTAAATTCCTAATTGTTTGATGGAAAATGCTAAACACCTCTACAATTGTCATTCACTAACAACGACTTCTTGATGCGAAAAAATTCCACGTCACAAAAATGCAATTGCCACATAAAGAGTGGTTGTTTGTGAGTGATAAATGTAGAAGTGTGTAGCATGATCCTTGTTTGACGAAGTGGTAAATGTAGAAGTGTACGTGTAGTATGATCATTGTTTGACGATGATAAAAATAAGCCAAATTATATATTGTCATAAAGTATTAGAATAACCCAACATGGTAGCTTAAGTGGCAAATGAGCTTTCTTTATGAGGGAGAATTCTGGGATAACCTGGGTTTGATTCCCTTTGGACTAGCTTTTGTCCCTCTTGGAGTGAACCGGGTGGACCTGGACCGTTAAACAAACAGAGAAATACCCGGACCACATTGTGGTTTACATAAAAAAAAAAAAGTATTAGAATGATTGTGAATATAAAGTAAAAACATGTATCAGAGCACAAATGATTAAGTAAAATAGAAGTTAATTAACTATTAGAAAAATACATAATTATGAAAAAAAATGCATAATCTATGTATGCTTTAATTTGTGATAGAAGTTCAGTGTTGGTCCATTTATATCGGACCACGTTACATTAATTGCCAATAGCTCCTTTATACTTGCAAACGTTAAAGGACCTTTCTAGTGGTTTTGATACAGACCACTATTTCTTTACTTTTTCTGGGATGACAGTATGGTACGTTGTGGATATCATACTGCGGAATTATTATAAATTCCCCTATCAAGAATTATAAGGTATTAGTCAGTTGGGTTTGTATTATATTTGATACAACCATGTAAGCATAATTGTATCGAGCATTCTAGTGTATATAGTATTCGGTACAACTCAATACACATATGTGATTGTATCAAGTATAACAAGACATCGGTGTTATTTGACACATCAGATGCTTTTAATTTTTTTTTTTTTTATAATATTCTACTCAACAAATATTTAAATATTGAAAAAAAAATCATCTGGGCCAACTTCCGTGCCTCTCGGAGCGAGCGGGGATTATTCGGGTGGACCGAACTGTAAGACGGACTGAGAAAGACCAAAAACATCTCGTGATTTACAACAAAAGAGCTTCCCTAGTAGGGGTTTTAGCTCAGTTGTTGAGGAGGTTGGATCCTTGGTGGAAAAGAGAGTGTGTTGGAGAGAGAAGATTTGGATTGTTGGCTTGTTGCGAGGAGAGTAGTTTTTTTGTCTCCAAATGTGGGGCCCGCGTGGAGAGAACAAAGGAAAAGCTACTCAGCTCTCATGTGCGTTCATTGCAAGCATCGCGCGCCCTGAGTGCGTAAAAGCTTTTTAAATTTATTTTTTCGCCTAACATATGTTTTCTTTTAATTTATTGCTGTTGTTCTATTCACTCTTTCCTTGTAATTCGACAAAATTTCTTAAAAAACTATGCCTAATGGAGATGCTCTAAGGGTTCTACTGCATTACAGTCATAGGACATTACTGACAACTCATTGAGGGAAAACATTCAATCTAGCATTGGCGAAGAATAAACAATCGTCAATGTAATTAAGACATTCAATCACGCATTGCCAACAAAAAAAAAAAGGTAACAAACATGTTATATTACAGTTATCATTAGACGTAAAAATTGTATACCTATGTCACTCTATAGTCATATAAAAAGAAAAATTAGACATTGACTTGTCAATATCATTATATCTTCTATACTAAAAAGTTTCAATTACTCATATATTATGACCAATCAAACTTATTAGCGCAACCATCTTTGAATAAACTTTATTATTAGAGCAACACCTAGATGGATTTTTCTTGATTTTTTTCAGACATTTTTGCCACATGAAAGAGAGAGAGATGAGAGAGAGGGAGTTGATTTTTCTTGCAAAGACCCAAATATTTTCAAATTTGTGGGTCCTACCAAAAGAGAGAGGAGCAGCCGCCAGCTCGCGTGAGACGCACAAAAGGCACCCAGCCTGGCGTGTGCACTTCACGCGCATGGGCGCGTAAATACAGTGTGTGTGTGTGTGTGTGTGTGTGTATATATATATATATATATATATATATATATATAGAGGATGATTTTTTTTTCTCTTTTCTTTTTTCTTACATTTTTCTCTCTCCTATTTTACACCTTAAATCCGATCCAAAATACCCCACTATTGAAGATGCCCTTAGAGCAACCCTAATAGGGGGTTGTGCACATATTTTGAGGGAAAATGGCAAGGTGAAGGAGAGAGGAGAGATGAGAGAGAGGGGATGTGGTTGTCCTGTAAAAATGGGAATTTTGTAGAGAGTGAGACCCACATGTGAAGATAGAGAGTTACACCTCACGTGCGTGCGGCACAACTCTCGCGCCCAGGCAGACACGTAATTCTAACTTTTTTATTTTTATTTTCTCTCTCTAATTTTTTCTTTTCTAATTACACCCCTATAAAATCTACTCAAAATCTTCACACTGAGGATGTCCTTAATAACATTAGTCGCTCTAATAATAATGCAGTCTAATCTAAGTAAATAATTGATATTATTGAGTAATGGATACAACTCTTTAAATACTAAATGAAAGAGAATGCGTGGTGACGGCAGCATATTCACCACCAACAAGATCGTATGAGTAACATGGTAAAGTTAATTTGATTCCATAGTTTGGTTGATTATAATATTGAAATATTTATATGGAACATGATTGGGGAGAAAATGAGGTACACCGGTCCAATAGTGGGGAAGCAAGCAGAGAAGGATGGTCCCCAGATATTTTGTTGCTGACGCGGATCCAATCCTTTGGTAGAAGAGGGAATAAACCACAAGTTTTGAGGAGCGTTTTGTCATTTAACAATGTACGCGACCACACAAATTCTAATCCAGCCAGAGGGTGGGGCCCGCCCGCTGACGAAACGACGTCGCTCCTTCAATTCCCCAAACCTTTTACTGAACCCACAGGCCGTCACGTGTCCCCCAATCGGATCAGAAAAGATCCGCCCGAAACTATAGAGAGCCCGTTTTTTGATTCAGCTCCACGTGGCTTCCAGTGCATCGCTTACGTGGCGGACTGTGCAGCTCACCATTGTCCACGTCATCAGCAGATCGGGGGAATATAATATCTTTGCTAGGACGTATCTATTTCTCTCCCCTCAACCCCTCCTTCATTCTTCAGGCTTCGGTGTTTCTCCTTTTAGTGGAACAAACCCTAGACATAAACACAACAATGAGTTGAGAGAATTCATTAAAATAAAATACGGATTTCTTTTGCCTTTTATTGGATAAACAAACATTCGTCTGCTTCTGGATATATTCAAAACCTCGTTTCATTAACTATGACTTTCATAGGAGCTCTGATCTGCACCAATGGAGTTTAGGTATGAATTCATGCTTCGCCATTTCCTCCTTTCTGTTGGTGAATTTGTGAGGAATTTTAATTTGCTTTACGTGTTATTTTGTTGTTCTGGATCTCTCCGATTCAAATTCTGTTATTTCGTGCCCCGACAAAACTGGGGTTCTTCAAAAGCAAACATTTTTTGGATTTTCGTGTCCTGGAAAGATGAATTGTTAATATAGTAAAAAGGTATTGATTTTTATGGCTTGGTTGAGATGCATTGTGTGTGAACAATTGAGGTTATTGTGCTTTTAATTGCTCAATTTTGCATAATAGTTGTTTCTGACATTCAGGGCTGTTTCAAATTGCTTAGCTCGTTCAATTCAGAAAATTTTTGAGCTGCCAAACACAAATAAGTGGAATTTTATTGTTTGTAAGCTTAGAGTTGTTTTATTTTTTTCTTGGTTTGTTCTTAGATACATTCAATTGTACAAATCACATGGAATTCATTCCCCTAGCTTGATAATGAGCATGGTTATTTTTTGCTCCCTATTATATACATGTGCATACTCATACGATCTGGTAAATTATTGGATTTGATATTTGCTATGAATATGTGAGGTATTTGAAGAATTTGATGTCTTTTTGTTGTAGATTTTATCAAGGAGCTGGTTAGTAGAAAGACTGGTAATTTATGTAACAACGGTATGAGCAACTTTTCTTCCAGAGTTTTAAATTCGAAGGCCAGGGGGTACAATAAAGAAAACATTTAAAAGAAAAACGAAACAGTAAATTTAATATTTGTGATGTAATAAGCATACAGAAAAATTAGAAGAATCTGATGTTTAATATTTCTCTCTACATTCGAGGTTTTCTTGCGGACTAAATCTGAAGCCTTATTCATCATTCATTTTTTGAATCTGATTGATGAGGGGAGTTCGGGTGGATGGCAATGGTCCTCCACTTAAAGGGTTAACAGAAATCAATCACAGTGGTATGCGGTCTGAGCAGAATGGAGTAAGAGATGGAGTTAATGGTGATGGACATGGGCTCTCTGAGGAAGACGAGTCGAGGATTAATGAAGACGCTGAGGACAGAAATGATATGCGCAGAGATTTAATGCAGGTGCAGGCTGTTCTTCATACTCAGCAGCAACAGCCTCAAGGCCCTGTGGTTCGCTGGGAGCGTTTTCTTCCTCTTAGGTCCCTCAAGGTTCTGCTTGTGGAAAATGATGATTCTACTCGTCATGTAGTCAGTGCACTGCTTCGGAATTGCAGCTACGAAGGTTGGCTTTTTTCTTGCTAAATCCTTTTCTGTTTTCGTGAGTGGTTTATAGTGAGAGTTCATGCAGATATTTTGCAAATTTATTCTATCCTGTGATTCCTGTCCTTATTTGGTTAGCAGTATATAGATATCTGCTTAGTTTCCTGGCTGAATAAATATCAGCTAATTGAATTTTCAGGTCAATTCTTATTGGGTTAGCATGTTCATTTTCTGCCTGGCTTTATGTTAATTGAACTTCTATTGATCTTTTGCCATTTAATGTCTTTTTCTGCTAGATGAGATACTTCTATTGATTTTTGTATCATGTAGAATTAATTACACTTAATTTATAATGTTTTTTTCCATAGAAGAAATACTGAACTCCTGATTTCCCGGGTAATAATTGGCTTTATTATTATTATTATTTATTTATTTTACTTTATTTTATTTTTTCTATTGAAGGGTTGACTGGAAGTTATTCCTTTTATCCCAGTAAAGCTCACCCTTACTTTTTGCATCTTTCTTCTCTTGATTTCTGTCACTTCCTTCCTTCTAAGAAATAGAAGGAATATAAATTTGGTTGCTCAGGCCTCCTCATCTTTTAGAGAGAAATCTTCTCCATCCTATTGACTGAAATGTTTTCATACAACAGTTATGAAGTATACAGATATATCCATCCTCTCTCAAAACTTTCAGTATCAATTTTCTGCTTGAGTGGATGTAATTATATCCTAACACAAGAAACTGTGATCTTACTAGAAATGCATCCATCTTGTACTCCTGTCCCTATCTTGTTCCTTTAGTTTTTCCCTTTTTTTTTGTTTTTGTTTTTTGTTTTTGTTTTTTTTTTTTTTAACAATTTGTGCTTTGGTCAGGATAAAGGAAAGAAGCATCAGGCAAAACATGCAATTGATGTTAACTACAAAATTCAGTTCCTATACTTCTTTAGCATTTAAACTTTGCTCTTGGTTCTCCCTATTCCCAATATTTGTTTAAGTATTCATCTTTTTTTATTGTGAAATTTGAGATCTTTATCTGGGCTCTCTGCCAATATTTGTTAGAGCATTCAAATCCCTCATTCTCAAGGAATATGTTGAATTGGATAACTGCAGTTACAGCTGTTGCAAATGGATTTGAAGCATGGAAAATTTTAGAAGATTTAACCAATCACATAGATCTTGTTCTAACAGAAGTAGCCATGCCATATATGTCGGGCATTGGTCTGTTATCAAAGGTTATGAACCACAAAACTCGCAAGAATGTCCCTTTGATTAGTGAGTTTTCTTCCTATTTCATGGTTGTGTTTACTAATACTTTTTATGTTTTTAGCTGCTACACCTAATGTGTATTACTTTTATGTGCAGTGATGTCATCTAATGATTCTATGGGAGTAGTCTTCAAGTGTTTGTCAAAGGGTGCAGTTGACTTTTTAGTGAAGCCTATTCGAAAGAATGAGCTTAAAAATCTCTGGCAACATGTTTGGAGAAAATGCCACAGTGTAAGTTAATATCATCATCCTATCATGTATAACTTGGAACTTGGAAGCACCATTTCTTCAATAATTCTTGATAAAGCAGCCAAGCAGGGTATGTTGGTGCTTAAATTGAAAAAGAGATTTCTTATCAAAAAACAAAAACTGAAAAGGATATCACTGTGTTTAACTTGGTGGACCGTCTAAATTGTTGCTCCTTCTCTCTCCTCTCTCCCTTTCACTTTGTTTTATTTTTTTTTTACCTTTTTTCCCCCCTTTACACTGTATTTCCCTAGCAAATTGTGTATTGGCATTCTGTTTTTTCATTATTTTGTCATCCTTTTATCAGTCGAGTGGTAGTGGCAGTGTAAGTGGAATACGTACCGAAAAGTCCACAAAATGTAAAAGCATTGAAGGGTCGGGGAATAACAGCGACAGCAATGATGAGGATGAGAATGGAAGCATTGATTTGAACATCAGGGATGGAAGTGACAACGGAAGTGGGACCCAGGTACTTCTAAAGATCTTACCTATAATAGTCTTTTTCACATATGCATGATACCACACTAACATGCAAACATGTATTTGTTCTTTTTACAAAATATAAGAGAAAGTGCACTTGTACTCCCTGAGTTATGACTAATTGCAATTTTAGTCCCTAATTGTTTAGCATGAATGTGTATAGTCCCCAAGTTTTTTATTTTGGTTCTCCTATGTTGCAACTTTAGTCCCTAAGCTATGACTAAATTTCAATTTTGGTCCCCATCTATGAGATGACTAAAATTGCAACGTGGTTAAAAATCTAGTGACTATTTTATGTTCATGCAAAACAATTAGAGACTAAATCTCTATTCAGTCATAACTTGGGGACTTAAACTGCATTTTCCCTGAAATATAATTTTCCATAATATCTATGTTTGCAAAAATGAATATTTTTTTCAATTTTGTTAATCTTGTTAAATGACCAGTATCGTTAATCTTGTTAATGTACAGTAATGTGAATCTCGTGGGGCTCTTCTATTGTAGTTACTTTCATGTCTGCATGCTTTTGTGTATGCTGTACAACTTGGGTGTCATGGCCCAACTGTATACCATCTTATGCAATCAAGTTTATGTAGGACACTTGGCTGCCTAATTTGTTACTGATTACTGATTGCCTATAAAATCCTATTGATATTTTGCTAGCCTTCATATTCCTTAGTAAATTTATTGAATACAAAATAACAGAAAGCACCCAACTTATTGAAAAACTTTAAAAACAAAGCGAAAAGTATATTGATAGTTACCTGACCAAGTTAAATATTCCTTCCAAAAATCACCAAAAGTAACTAGCAGGAAAAACTAATCTATAAAATCAAGAACAAATAAGCATGTGAAAAGAAAGATCTTTAGCTTGAAATGCTTATAATTTAATTTAATTTTTTTTTTTGGCATGCATACTCCAAAATTTTCCAAATATATTCCACTTTGTTCTTGGACGAAATTCCCTATTTTGCTGTTAATTCAAAAACATGGGAAACAGTTTAGGAATTAAGAGTATTTCCACTTGAAGTCCCATAATGATTTTTAAAAATGATGCATTATTTCTCATTTCTTTGTTTTATTTATTTCTTGTTTTCCCCCCAATCTTGTAACGCTTCCAAATGTCAAGTTCAGTCTACCACGCTGCTTGTAGTGCATACCTACCTTATGTTGGAAAAGGGGGGAGGGGGTTGTGAATGACAAATGACAATTTTCACTATAAAGGAGATTGTAGAGGCATTTTCTGCTTAAGTACCAAATCACATCATATATGTAATGTGTTGCAGTAATGAATCAACAATAATTATATCAAGTGTACCAAATCACATCATATATGTAATGTGTTGCAGTAATGAATCAACAATAATTATATCAAAATTCTGGAATGGCATAGATTGGAAGCCTATGCACTCTTTTCTTAGGTTTGTATATATATATATATATATATATATATAAAATGATGCAGTGTTCTAATATCATTACAACCCTTCTTTCTCAGAGTTCATGGTCAAAACGGGCCATTGAGGTGGAAAGCCCACAACCCATGTTGCCTTGGGATGAATTACCTGAACCCCCTGACAGCACTTGTGCTCAGGTTATTCATTCCAGACCAGAAGCACAAAGTGCAAATTGGGTTCCTACAATTGCCACCAGAGAGTACCAAGATGAGGAGGATGAACAGGGTACTGTAGTTCTTTTGAAATGGGGAATATTGCATGCTTGCGCACCTAGTTAATTTGCAAGCTCAAGGGCCTAATGACATAATTTGCCTCGATAAAAATGATTTGGAAAATATAATGTCCATACAGCTTAACTCAACTTGATTTGGATCTAGTCCCACTTGAGTTTCGTGTTTGGCCTAATGTTTTATATCTTTAGCTTCTTTGTTTTCTGATCTGATAAGTTAATGATTTGGTTTGCAAGCAGAAAATGTTCCAATGGGAAAGGATCTACAGATAGGAGTACCTAGGACTCCGGATTTACAGCTTAATGGTCCAACCAGTAAAGCATTGGATGGTGATGCGAGTGCTAAGAAGGGAAAACTTGTGAATGTAGACTCCTCAAAAGATGACGAGAAATTGATTGGAAAGCTGGAGCTTAACATGACTCGAAAGAATGAGTTAAAGGACAAGGATAATGGTCATGTAGCTGCCATCGCCATCAAAGATAATCCTCTGTTGGAAATTACTGCCAATGATGTCCCCACTGATCCATCCAAGATAACTAACACCAAAGAAATAGCCACTTATAACACCAAGGAGATGCCATCCCTTGAACTCAGTTTGAAGCAACACAGAGAAGTTGGAGAGACTGGAACCACAGTGCTAGAACGCAACGTACTGAGGCATTCGGACCACCTTTCAGCTTTCTCAAGGCAAGTAGTAATTTGAACCCTCACTAAAGTTGAAACACTCACAGGTTATATTATTAGTTAATAAGCCGCCATAGGGGAGCCGCCATGGGGGAGGGATCACAAATTATAATTCTCATTTCCATGCACAGGTATGGCACTACTTCAACTGCTAATCAGGCTCAAACTGGAAATGTGGGCAGCTGCTCTCCTGTTAATAATAGCGGCTCTGAAGCAGCAAAAACAGAATCATTGCAGAATTTAAGATCTAATTCAAGCAGTATGCCCAATCAGCGCTCCAATGGCAGTAGTAACAACAATGATATGGGCTCATCAACCAATAACATTTTTGTCAAGGCAGAGGCATTTGCTGACAAGCCAATCAATAAATCTTCTGCTGTGAATGCACATCCCTGCTCTGCATTTCAGCCAGTTCAGCAAGGACAAAATTCTTCCCTTCCAGGAAAAGGTGATTCCGCCAAGGCAGCATTGGCCCAGGCAAGGGCCATGCAGCAGCAGCAGTATCAAGTTCAGCATCATCATCACCATTACCATCACCATCATCACCATGTGCATAACATGCAGCAGCAGCAACAACAACAACAACAGCAGCAGCAACAACAACAGCAGCTCCTGAATGAAGATTCTTTGCCTTCTAGAAAAACTGTTGCAGATGGAGCCGGACCCTATATGTTAGGTACACTGACAGATGGAAATACGAACTATGGAAGTGCATCGGGAAGTAACAATGCAAGCAATGGGCAGAATGAAAGCAACACTGCTGTAATTGCCGAGGAAACTAACATGGCTACTGAAGATGGAATAGCTGGAAAATGCACGGTTGGTGGAGAGAGTGGTAGTGGTAGCAGAAGTGGAGTAGACCAATGTCGACAAGCACAAAGGGAGGCTGCCTTGAACAAGTTCAGGCAAAAGCGAAAAGAGAGGAACTTTGATAAAAAGGTAACTTTTCTAAGATCTTAAAGATCAAACCATTCAGCCTATATATATAATTCCCCATGTTTCCAGCAGCACTCTGTTTGCAGAAAGAATACTTTGTATCTTGAATTCTTGATGATACAACAACGGCTTGGCTTATTAAAAGCAGCAGAAAAACCAACATCTCATTCTTCTCCCTTTCTTTGGGGTGCCATTTTCAGGTTCGATATCAAAGCAGAAAGAGACTGGCTGAACAGCGGCCACGCATCCGAGGACAATTTGTGAGCCAGTCCTCAGATAAAACCAAAACAAAGGATACAAATTGCTGACCCCTGCCCTGTCGCTTGATGGTGCATGTGTATTATGTACATGATTAGCATTGATCGCATAGATAGGGAGGCAGCAGTTTCATGTTTCTAAGAATAAGACATTTCTAAAGACTAGAATGAGTGAAGAACCACTGAAAAATGTATTCTTGGGAACTTTTTTGTGTGGTTTATATGACTACTAGGTACTGATTGAGGGTCATGGACTACCCCCAAACTACTACTTGTATTTCCTAATAAAATTCTTCAATGTAATGTGACGGATGTCTCTAGTGTTTGTTGTTGTAATGTAATCTTCTATTCTCCTTTAATTTTGTCCTCTCACAGATTTTTTCTCTCATTTCATTTCAATCTCTATAATATAGTAAATGCACCACTGTTGCAGATGTTTTTGCATTTTCTATTAGGGAATAGCTATCCTTTTGGAGTCACAAGGAAAATCCGTAGTCACTATTCGATCCCAAGAAATAAACCAATCTAGGTTTGGTTGTTCATAGTTGACTAGCTCAAACCGAGCAGATCAATCCTCTCATTAGGAGTCGAATTTCGACCAACATGGCGATACATTCATTCATATATACTAATATACATAAACAAAACCAAGCAGATCAATCCTCTCATTAGGAGTTAAATTTCGACCAACATGGTGATATATTCATTCATATATACGTAAAGATACATAGATGAAGGAAAACAATGCATATTATCATATGATCAAAGCATTTTTAGAAATGGACATAATTTTCATGGATATGTCTTCAGATTGATCAGTAAATGTTTGCATTGTTGATGATGAGTCGAATATGTATATATATACCCACATAGACAGGCATAAATAAGTGGATACATATGATACTGATACCTTATTGCATTGGTGAAAACTTTTCCGCCATTTGTTGTCTCGAACTGGTAAAGAGAGATTGAATTTACTCTGTCAAACATATGCACGGAAAAGCAATTTGATGTGCAAACCGGTTGGCCCTCTTTCATAATTCTCGAAACTGGCGGGGCAAATGCTATACGGGTCGTCTGATTCATATTTGTGTAATGCTTTAGCAATTGTTTTTCTTCTCCCATGAAGCAACACCTAAGTAGAGATGAAGCGTTTCTTCTATTCTAACCACTGTTGTAAAAATTGATCTAGGTTCCGTCTAGGCGCTAGGCGCCCCTAGAACGTTGCAATTTTCCCCCTTAGGCGATCGGCCGCCTAAGTGCCCGCCTAGCGCCTAACACGACCGACTTGGCTGCATAGGCAGCCGCCTAGTGCTTAACTTGGCCGAGTTAACTTGTCTATTTCGGTCGAGTTAGCCGAGTTAACCAGGTCGGCTCGCGACCTTGCTAATTTTTTTAAACATTATGTTAGTTATTAGAGTTGTACTATTGTTGCGATGCATATGCATCCACCATATATTTTATTATCTTCTTCAATTGTAATAATATATAAACATTATATATTGGAGTACTATAACTATGGTTGGTTTATATGACTACTGGGTATTGACATATTGTGTGGTTTATATTAGTACCACTGAAAATATTCTTGGGAACTTTTTTGTGTGGTTGGTTTATGACTACTAGGTACTGAGGGTCATGAACTTTTTTGTCCTCTCACATGTTTTTTTTCTCTTATTTCATTTCAATCTCTATAATAGCTATCCTACTGTGACGAAGAAAATCCATAATCACTATTCCTCACAAAAGGTAAACCAGTCTAGATTGTTCATAACTAACTAGCTCAAACCAAATAAATCAATAGATCGTTTTCATTAAGAGTCGAACTTCGACCAACATGGCGATATATTCATAAAGATACATAGATGAAGGGAAAAAAAATACATATTATCATGATAAAAGCATTGTTAGAAATGGACATAATTTTCACGGATATATATGTCTTTCCTGATATCAAATTGAAGCATGTGCTCCATCTCAACTAAAAATCTAAGCTGATAGTTGGATCGCACATTAATGGTTATATACTCAACGGAGTTGTATATGTATATACCCATACCCACATAGACAGGCATAAATAAATGGATACATATGATATTGATACCTTATTGCACTGGTGAAAACTTTTCCGCCATTTATTGGCCTCTTTCAAATGCAATACGGGTGGGTCGTCTGATTCATATTTGTTTAACCCTTTAGCAATTGTTTTTCTTCTCCCATTAAGTAGAAATGAAGCATTTGTTCTGTCCTGACAGCTTTATAGCAGAGGTAAAGGGAGGAGAAAGAGAAATCTCCTCAGTTTTTTACACGTGTTAAAATGTTGTTTTTATCAATGGGTTAAATTAAGATGTGATTTGATATACATCTCACATTGAAAACGTGTGATATACATATACTAATTTCCGTTTTCTGTTATTAATTTAGGAGAAAGAGAAATCTCCTCAGTTTTTTACACGTGTTAAAATGTTGTTTTTATCAATGGGTTAAATTAAGATGTGATTTGATATATATCTCACATTGAAAACGTGTGATATACATATACTAATTTCCGTTTTCTGTTATTAATTTTTGTCATGTGAGAAATGTGGGGAAAAAAAGTTATTTTAATGTGGGCAGTTATTCATGATCGATCTTAATTATCGGATGACCAATCAACTACTGGTAAATTTATTAACGCACAGTCTATGTAATTTGCAATTTTAACTTGATAAAACAAATAATATGAGAACGATCGAGTTATATTATTTATTTTATTATATTTGAATAATAATTTTCTATAAATAATTAAGTTTTAATACAAAGTATAACCTATTAAAATTTTATAGAATCTCAAAATGAATGACAATCTAAATAAAACATATTTCAACCTTTTTAAATAGAAGTTGAACACATTCCCTCACGTCACATAAATAACATCTTTATTAGATAGTGTTATTTTATATGACAATTAAGATATCTCCTTGTATCACGTGAACATAGTATTTTTATTGAGTAGCATAAAAGTTCCAACAATACAAACAAGGCACAAAAAGATATGATACTGAGCAATGAGCTACATCAACTTGAGTCTAGCTTTAACCATCATCAATGGAATATGAGGTTGTCATAAAGGTTGGGAAGATCATTACATGCGGTTTTATACCATTTTCCTTGAGATTGAGGACATTAACAAGAATCTAGGGAAATTATAACAAACTCTATGTGTTTACATAGCTCCTGAGCAAGTCGATCGGTCTGACATTTCCTATAACAATTAGGTGCATGTACTTTAGGGTCTTAGCCTTGTAGATCGTATAATGAACTCAACCCTAAGCTATCAACCTATCCTAGAACTATTAGAGCAAGCCCAACAGCAATGGATTTCGTCAGAATTTGTTCAAGCCATTACGAAAGAGAAATGGAGAAAAAAAGGGAGGGGAAAGAAAAAAGAAAAAAACATTATAAAAAAATGTCTCAAATCATGTGGAGATGGCCGAGTTGGTATAAGGCGTCAGATTAAGGTTTTGGTCTGAAAGGGCGTGGGTTCAAATCCCACTCTCCACACACCCTCCCTTTTATTCCACTCTAAAATACAATGCTAAGTACTTTTTGGTTTGATGACATCGTTGTGGAGAAAAAAGCAACAAGCATCTCTAATTTTCGTGTGAATTCACCATCAGGTATGCATAAATGCATCACACCGTGTTTGAAAATGCACCACAAAACGCACCACACACCCAAAAAAATGCACCCATCTCACCACACCTAATGGTGCATTTCCAAACACTTTTAGTGCATTTATGCGTACCTAATAGTGAGTGACCGCATGGGAACTTGACCCTATATATATATAAACAGTTTTACGTACCCAGCACACGCGTGAATTGCACACGCCTAATGGGCGCGCACACATACCTAGGGCAAAATAGGCAGATTTGTTATGGATGATCTTACCCTCAAGTGCGGGAAACAACAAAACCGGCCTCATATATACAAAAACTCAAGTTGAACCAAATAAGTGTCACTAGTTTTCAAAGAAGGTTACGTTTTATATATGCAAATCAGGCCAGTTACATATGGACATTGTGATGGGACTAAAACGGCTCTAATTTCTAGTTTAGGAAAAGAACAAACCACATTATTTATGGTTTAAGCAAATCCCCACTACTAACACAAATAAGCATTAGCAAAATGTGCAAACTAATCATCATCAACAGTCTAAACAAGATTTGCCATCCAAACACCACAAAGTGATATACAATTAACTTTTCAGTGGGGTCCATATGTTGCCTAGCTACTACTACTAATAATAATAATAGAAAAATTTGATTGAACAACAATGGACTCTACAAGAAGCTAAGCATCTATCTATCAAAACAACAGATGAGGAGCCCATTCATCATTTCTTTATGTCTCCATCCTTTGTTTCCCAGACATGTAACGAAAATGCAATTATGTCTGGTAATGAAAAAGAATGAGAAAATTCAGCCACATAAAAACCAACTTTCTTCCTCAGATTGATGGCTTCCAGCCCAGATATATATATATATATATATATATATATATATATATATATATATATGTATGTAACTTTCAAAGAACTATACAAAGATAATGATCCCATGGCTAAATTGTTCAAGTCTTGCTGCAAGGGATAGAAAATCTGACCTTTTGAAGCTGGAATTGAAGTTACACTGCCAGCTGATAATTAAGGAGCATAGAGCAACATAAAAAGTTATAACTAAAACGAATAGTGGAAAATACTTTAGGGGCTATAAATGCTGCATATATTATACGCACGAACAGTTCAGTTAGATGGTAGATGGAGGGTGAGAATTCAAGATCGAACTTGACAGCTATATAGTGTGAGAGTTCTATCGAGTACTAATCCTCTCACCTAATTAAGAGACTAAGATTGATGACTCACCGTGATTTGTACCTCCACAATTCTGTTGGTCTGACCGAGGTATGAGGGCCATGGGGCGAGCTACATACTTTGCCTTTTGACTTTTGATGGTGAGCATAGAGCAATGGGAATGTGAAATAGCCATGGTAGGCTCCATAACATACAAGCTAATCCATCCACATTTTCTTTTATTGGTCTGAACTCGAATCAAGACTCGAGCCCGAGATATCATCTGATTCAACTAGAAGAGATTAACTTCATCACATTCACAAATAACAAGTCATGAGTATCCATTGACATCTTTTATCAAGGTATTAAAAAAAAAAAAAAAAAAACAGAGACTGCATCATAGTAATCATATGGCATTTTGTAGGATAACAAAGTAAAAATTGAAAAAAGAAAACTCACAAAAGTTTCAAGCTTTATAATTCAATCCTCCAGAATCCAGATGTTTATACGTATGAGAGATTTGGTAGGAGAGAGAGTAGCAAGGGCCAAGGAGCCAAACCCTATCTGCTACTGAACTGACTGCTCAACAATCAGCCCGGCCTGGCGTATACGAGGAGACATTGATGGGACTTTTGCTTAAAATGTACTCACCAATCACCACTATGTTTTAAGGGGTGTATGTAATATATTACACATACTTTCCATTTTTATTCTATTTGGATTTTGGAGTGTGCTTGGAGTAAATTCCACATCATGATTTTAAGTGACAAAGTTTAAGTTGCACATAGTTGATCGGTTTAAATTAAGAAGGTCAAGAGATCACTCCTGTTGAAAGTTGAATTTGTATTACCAAATTAAACTGACTAATTTTACTAGGGTTGCCCCTTTCTTCTTCTTCTTCTTCTTTTTTTTTTTTTTTTTTTTTTTTTTTTTTTTTTTTTTTTTTGCATGTTATGGTTCATTTAAAAAAAAAAAAATAGTAACATATAATTTTTATTACTCTTTTTTTTTTCTATCAATAAAATATTAAAATCACGACACATTGTGGGAGTTTACTACATGAGATGATAAAGAGAGAGAAAAAAAAAAAATTTAACCCTCCTACAAGGGTCTAATTTTTCACACTTTAGGACAAAAATTTGCATGTGCGGTTAACTCATGCTTCTAGCGGCGTGTAAAAATAGCTAACGTACACCTTTTTCTTTTTTTTTTTCTCACTCTCTCCTAGCTTGTTGGTAGCCAAAACTCAATTGATGGCTTTGCTCTAATTAAAGTAACATTTTTAAAATTTTATGTTGGAGGATTTAATTATCGTAAAGGATGCGTTATGTTAAAGAATTTTAGATTTTCAAGTAAGAGTTCGACTTTATAAGCACGACTTAGGTTGAATCCGGATTAGTTTTATAGTAGTGAAGATATTGAAAGCATATGCAGTGAAATATGAGAATGAAATCTTTATAAGTGCAATCAAAGAAGTTAAAAATCAATCCAATAGGGTAGCTTAAGTGGCAAATGAGCTCTCTTTGTGGGCGAGAGTTTCGGGATAACCTAGGTTCGATTTGGGCCAGCTCTTGTGCCTCTCGGAGCAAATGGGGAAGTCACCACCTCGTGGTTTACACCAAAGAAAAGAAGTTAAAAATCAATTTTGAAATCTCACATTTTTTTTCCGGGGGATTATAACCTAGTATAATATTTACTAATAATTTGAAGTTGTTTTAATAGAAATTATTATTGAAATTGTTAATAGTACATTAGTACGTCATTAAAAGACATGAAAGTGAAACGGTTAGAGACTTAAGACCAATCTGTTAATGGCACAAAACAACGATATCACCATCCTCCTACTTCCTAAGCCCTGATAATACATATAGCTTGAATAAACTAAAGAATATAGTTCGCATGTCATATAATATAGTATATGAATGAATTGGATTAATATAATATAAGATACTTGTCAAATTAATAGATTATTATACAACTAACTTATTGGTAATAATAAGTATACATGCCCTGAAAGTGGTCACCAAATGGATTGAGTATTCCTAGTGCGGAGTGACTACAAATTTCTCTCGTCACAAAAAAAAAAAAAATGAAAACTAATAATTAGCATAATGTATGAATTTTATCAATATAATGGGCAAATCTATTTATCATATAGCTAGTATAAACAAGGGAAAATAGTATTTTTCGTTCATAAATTATAGAAAAATAATACTTTTTTTTACTCTCAATTATGTCTATTGTCACTTTTGTCCTTAAATTGTTTGTGAAATAGTGTTTTTTTTTTTTGGTCCCTTAATTCTACTATGGTTAAGGTTTTTTTTTTTTTTTTTTTTTTTTTTTTAATCACCTTGTAAACAATTGAGTGCTGAAAAGTACTATTTTCCTATAATTCATGGGTGAGCAATATCATTTTCTCTAAAAACAACTACACAGAGATCAGATAACCAATTAACATATCGTAATTTTAAATCAAATTAATTTTATTTTTTATTTTTACTTTTGTATGTAGTACTTCCAATGTACTTAACATTTTTTTTAAATAATTACAACCCTCATTTTAAAACCTCAATTTGTTTATTTATTATCCTGCAAAGGAATGTCTGATGCAATGATAAGAGAAGAGCATCAAACTATTTGTCTGTGTCATTCATACATGCATGGACTAAGATGTACAGTTGGCCCTGTGTGCTTGGAATTCCATTTTGTAATATTTGCTATCACTATTATTGTTATTATATAATGAACATATATATGGTATATGATTGTACATTTTAGTACTAGTGGAAAGAATATGCTGTCTGTCAATTCAAGACATTTTCCTATTTTGTCAATAATTATTTAAAAAAATTTATAATCATAAATTTGAATTTATAATTTACATTCAAAAAATCAATATCATCGATAAAATAAGTGACTAAACTATCACTTACCGTAATTATTTTCCTCTCTTCTTTCTCTTCCACCTATACAAAAATTCTAAAAAAATCATAGATGTGGATGCTCTTATATATCCTCAAGTGAGCGAATCCAAAATGTTGTAGTTGGATGAAACACTAGTAAAATAAAAAGACTTTTTCCAGCTAGATAACAACAAAACCAGCCTCATACAATATGCATGCAAACCAGTTACATATGGACATTCTGATCCAACATATATATATATATATATATATATATATATATATATATATATATATATATATATATCTGATGGGACTAAAATTGCTTTAATTTCTAGTTTAGGAAAAGAACAAACCACATTTATGGTTTAAGCAAATCCCCACTACTAACACAAATAAGCATTTGCAAAATGTGCAAACTAATCATCATCAACAATCTAAACAAGATTTGCCATCCAAACACCACAAAGTGATATACAACTTTTCAGTGGGGTCCATATCAGATGTTTGCCCTAATAATAATAATAGAAAATTTTGATTGAACAAGAATGGACTCTCCAAGAAGCATCTATCAAAACAACTAACAGAAGATGAGGAGCCCATCCATCCATCACCTTTATGTCTCCATCCTTTTTGTTTCCCAAAATCAACACAGCAGACACCTGCCAATGCAATGTCTGGTAATGAAAAAGAATGAGAAAATTCAGCCACATAAAAAGAAACTTTCTTCCTCAGATTGATATATGGGTTCCAGCCCAGATATATATATATATATATATATATATATATATATATATATATATATATATATATATATATATATATATATGTAACTTTCAAAGAACTATACAAAGATGATGATCCCATGGCTAAATTGTTCAAGTCTTGCTGCAAGGCATAGAAAATCTGACCTTTTAATTTGAAGCTGGAATTGAAGTTATACTGCATGCCAGCTGCTAAGGAGCATATAGAGCAACGCAAAAAGTTATAACTAAAACGAACACCCGAGAATACTTTAAGGGCTATAAATGCTGCATTATCCGCACAAACAGTTCAGTTAGATGGTAGATGGAGGGTGAGAATTCAAGATCAAACTTGACAACTATAGTGTGAGAGTTCTATTGAATACTAATTCTCTCACCTAATAGACTAAGACTGATGACTCGCCATGATTTGTACCTCTACAATCCTGTTGGCCGGACCGAGATATGAGGGCCGTGGAACGAGCTACTTTGCCTTTTGACTTTTGAGGGTGAGCATAGAGCAATAATGGGAATGTGGAATAGCCATTGTAGGCTCCATAACATACAAGCTAATTCATCCATAATTTTTATTTTTCTTTTATTGGTCTGAACTCGAGCCCGGTCGAGATATTTAATTAAATTAGAAGAGATTAATTTTGTCACATTCACAAGTTATGAGTATCCATTGACAGATTATATGAGGGTAAAAAACAATTTTGAAATCTCACATTTTTTTTCCCGGGGAATATAACCTAGTATAATATTTACTAATAATTTGAAGTTGTTTTAACAGAAATTATTATTGAGATTGTTAATAGTCATTAAAAGACATGAAAGTGAAACGGTTAGAGACTTAAGCCCTGAGCATAGTTGAAATTGGCGAGTATAAATAATACATATATAGCTTGAGTAAACTAAAGAATATAGTTTGCATGTCATATAATATAGTATATGAATTGGATTAATATAAGGTACCTGTCAAATTAATTAATATATTATACAACTAACTTATTGGTAATAATAAGTATACATGCCCTGAAAGTGGTCACCAAAAGAATTGAGTATTATATCTGAAAGTTATGAGTTTGATTCTATTAACACTCTCATAGTTAATTAAGTCAGTTGCACAGGTCTTCCTAGTGTGATTTACCTCTTTGGCCTATGTGATTTTGCAGGGTTTACCTAGTGCACACACTTAGATAGTGACTACAGGTTTCCCTCTCATTACCAAAAAAAAAAAAAAAAAGAAGCATACATTGCATGAAAACTAATAATTAGCATAACGTATGAATTTGATCAATATAATGCACAAATCTATTTATCATATAGTATAAATATAACTTCTTTAATTTTGTAATTGTCTGTAAAACCAAGAAAAAATAGCATTTTTTGTCCATAAATTAAAAAATAATAATCATAATACTTTTTGACTCTCAATTATGTCTATTGTCACTGTGAAATAGTGTTTTTTTTTTTTTTTTTGCGGGGGGGGGGGGGGACCCTTAGTTCTACTATGGTTAATTTCAAAAAAAAAAAAAAAAAAAAATCACCTTATAAACAATTGGGTGCTGAAAAGTGTTATTTTTTTATACTTCATGGTTCAGCAATACCATTTTCTCCAAAAACAACTACACAGAGATAACCAATTAACATATCGTAATTTTAAATCAAATTAATTTTATTTTTTATTTTTACTTTTGTATTTACATTAAATATAAAAAAAAAAAATTACATCCTAAAAAAGAGCATCCCTCTATGTAGTACTTCCAATGTTCTTAACATAATGTTTTTTTAAAAATAATTTACAACCCTAATTTTAAAACCTCATAAATTGTTTATTTATTATCCTGCAAAGGAATGTCTGATGCAATGATAAGAGAAGAGCATCAAACTATTTGTCTGTGTCATTCATACATGCATGGACTAAGATGTACAGTTGGCCCTGTGTGCTTGGAATTCCATTTTGTAATATTTGCTATCACTATTATTGTTATTATATAATGAACATATATATGGTATATGATTGTACATTTTAGTACTAGGGGAAAGAATATGATGTCTGTCAATTCAAGACATTTTCCTATTTTGTCAATAATTATTTAAAAAATTTTATAATTATGAATTTGAATTTATAATTTACATTCAAAAAATCAATATCATCAATAAAATAAGTGACTGAAGAAGTGGGTTATTGCTTATTAGTTTTGATCATAAGCTAATGAAGATGGCAAATTATGTTGTGCAACTGTGTGCACCATACATGGTGCATACGGGTTTAGATTCATAATTTCTATAGTGTAGATTCATAAAATCTATATTGTAGATTCATAATTTTATAAATATATGTTTATAATTATAGATTTATATGTTAATAATTTTTGATAATGTTAGAGTTCTTAGTAGTTAGTACAAGTCCAAGTGTAGCTTAAATTAAGATCGAATACTTTTCAATGGTCGGGAAGTGTACTAAAAGTCAAGAAAATTATAATCCTATCAAGTTAGAGAAAGTCTATATTTATAACAATCGTGACACATGTTAGGCCATGATGTGATGTCTATAGCGGTGACAACAGAGGTTATTTTTTTCTAATTCTTGGAACACATGTTGAATTCTACTATACGTCTAATCTTGGTCATCAGATCATCAGTTCCCTAGTCTTGGAGATAGAGACATGCTTAGACTTGGTTGACCTCCAAGTCACGACACTAATAGACTCTTCAATTTGTCTAACCTCATTAGGACACTTTTATTTTTTATTTTATTTTATTTTTTTTTAAAACAAGTTTTTAGGCTCATTTTATACATTTTTGTTTGACATGACGAGACAAAAAATATTTGAAGAAATTGTATTATTATTTTTCTTTAATAACAATTCTAATGATAAACAAATAACAATTAGAAAGAATTATATATAATAATCATTGAGCTGTATAGTGTTTTGTTTGGGCAACACTTGCACAAGCAAAACCATGTTGCAGCAGGTAGACATACTTCATTCTGGGTGACAAGCATCCTAGATTCTCTCCTAGCTAGCATGTTATTTAATTTGTAGGGATTATTATTTAGTATTAATTTAGAATAAAAACTGCTACTTACTCCCATTTTGTTTTGTTCACAAATCTTATTCCAAAAATAATATACTTTATCTACATAATTCAATTATAAATTAATTAATTAATCTCACCATAATTTATCTACTTACTCCCATTTTGTTTTGGTCATCACATGTACCATTTCATCCAAAAAATTAATTACAAAAATGGTCCCTTAACTATAACAAAATTAGCAATTTGGTCTTAAGTTAACGAATATCTAACGACAAAACAAACGGAGGATCAAATTAGTTAAGATTTTTAAAGTTGAGGGACTTAATTAGTCAAAAGAAAATATCAAGAACTTCCTTATAGTCAATGGACCATTTCACTAATTAACTTGTATTGAATATCATTGGAACCACGCATTATAATTATAATATCGGGTACTATTAAAATTTGAAAACTTTTATTAATAATATTCCGATGCAATACATAATTTGCACCGATACCAATCGACACAGTAAATATTTTTTATAAAATATATATTACGTAATAAATATAGAGTAGTGGCTGCGAAATTTCTTCGTCACCCAAAAGTTATATGATAATTCAGAACAAAACAAGAGGAAGGGCATACAAAGAGAATAAATTCAGAAAACGGGGTGGCTCCAGGCGGACAGAAGGAAAACAAGGGCTTTTGTGCAAAATAACCACAGAACAAGAAGGTATATACCCAAAGAGGCAAAGAGCCCTCTGTCCGAATTTTAATCCATCTCTCTCTGCTGTCTGAAATCCTGTTTGGTCTCCTTCTCTCTCCTTCATTTCCTTTCCCTTCCATTCCCTTCCCGTCTCTTCCTTCTCTGTCTATCTCAAGGAGAGCCACTGACAAACTTACTCAAAGTATACAACAATGGGTTTGTTCCTTTGCACTGGGAAATCAAAGAACAAAACAAAGCAGCAGCAAAGCAATAAGTCCGATGATCAGATCCCATCAACATTAGGTATTTGTATATGCAATGAATAAAGTTGGTTTCTTTTTTGTTAAATTTTCAGTACTCAGGTGAAATTTTGGGTTTGAAGTTCATAACTTTATGTTAGTGTTTCAAAGATTTCATTTTGGGTCTCTCTTTTTTTTTTTTTTTTGGTGTAATATATTTATCCATAAGTATATGGGGAAATGGTTTTCTGCAAAGTTATTTGAATTGGTTTCTTTTGTAGAGTTTATTTTGATGATCTGTGCCAATTTTGGTAGATATAATCTTTTGGCTAATAGTGTGACTAAGAATTGTTATGTGTTTGGACTTTGGAGGATTATGTATACCATAGTCTTGTGGACTGATTTTCTCTTGAAAGATTGAATTTTTCTGCCATTCTTTCAGTTCTGCTGTTTGGGGTGGCATTTTAGATTTAAATTTTCTTTTTGAACCTTTCCATCCTTGATAGAGTCTATGGGTCTGGGGTAATTTGGATGTATTCAATACCATTAAGCCAAAATCTTTTCTTTTTTAAAATTTTGTTGCTTAATTGAATGGTGTGCTTTTAACTGTTTACCTACCTGTCTAAAATCCTGCATTCATTATGTTCTTCCTTGTTTCCTAGAAAACCTCTGGTCTGTGATGGGATTACCTTAAAAAGTGTAGATGTTTGCTTTGGTTGTTGGTATGCTGCATTTTGAAGTTGTTGTTTTTGGTTTGTTTTATAGTTTCAGATAAAGTAAAGCTGGATTCTTCACTGGACGAAAGAAAGGAAGGATCGAAGAATGGAGGTTCGGGTCGTATTGCTGCCCATACATTTAGATTTCGTGAATTGGCTGCTGCAACGAAGAATTTCAGGGCCGACTGTCTTTTAGGTGAGGGAGGATTTGGCAGGGTATACAAGGGGCGTTTAGAGAGCACGAATCAGGTCAGTTGAGTCTATATGTTTGCAATCACTGAAAGCATAGAAAAGCGACTCTTTATTGTACCTAAAAGCCTAAGCTGATAGTTGGATTAAATGGTTATATTACTTTTGGTCTGCCTCTAATACCAAATTGAAGCATGTGCTCCATCTCAACTAAAAGCCTAAGCTGATAGTTGGATTGCGCAATGGTTATATGCTCAACACTTTTAAGTAAGACCACGATGAGCTAAACAAATGCTTAAATATACGGATAATACAGATAGTTTTTTTTACCCATATGAACATTATTTTATTTTATTTTTTGGTATAGATTGTCGCTATCAAACAACTAGATCGAAATGGATTGCAAGGAAACAGGGAATTCCTCGTTGAGGTTCTGATGTTGAGCCTACTTCATCATCCGAACCTGGTCAATTTGATCGGGTATTGTGCTGATGGAGATCAAAGACTATTGGTTTATGAGTACATGCCATTAGGATCCCTCGAGGACCATCTACATGGTACGTTCCATAATTTGTTATTTTGTTATCGCAATCACCTAATCTTATAAGTTCCATAATTTGCTATTTTGTTATTGTTGTCTCGTTGAGCATGCTACTATGAGTCTCGATTGTTGTATGCTTTGTTTGCTAAGTAGCTTCACGATAACTAAATGAAACCCTCGTGGCATCTCATATGTTGTGTTCTTGGTTCATGGATTCAGAGCTTTCGCCTGATAAAAAGCGACTTGATTGGAATACGAGAATGAAAATAGCGGCCGGTGCTGCAAAAGGCTTGGAGTATTTGCATGATAAAGCGAACCCTCCTGTAATATATCGTGATTTAAAATGTTCGAATATTTTGCTCGACGAATCCTATCACCCCAAGTTATCCGATTTCGGGTTGGCCAAATTAGGCCCCGTTGGCGATAAGACCCATGTATCTACTAGAGTCATGGGAACCTACGGATATTGCGCACCGGAATATGCAATGACTGGGCAACTTACATTGAAATCCGATGTCTATAGCTTCGGGGTGGTTCTTCTGGAAATTATTACCGGCAGAAAGGCAATCGACACTTCTAGAGCTGCCGGGGAGCAAAATCTCGTTGCATGGGTAAGAAATAACTCATCAATATTTGAATGCTTACTATAAAACGAGATTGTTATGCTCGTGCGTTTACCTGAACGGCCTAATTTTTCAGGCTCGGCCCTTGTTTAAAGACCGTAGGAAGTTCTCGCAAATGGCGGACCCGACGCTTCAGGGCCAGTATCCCGTCAGGGGTTTGTATCAGGCTCTCGCTGTTGCGGCAATGTGCGTCCAGGAGCAACCCACGATGCGACCTCTCATAGCAGACGTCGTTACAGCCTTAAACTATCTAGCATCCCAGAATTATGATCCCGATACCCAGCCAGTCCAAAGGATTCGCTCGGGCAATTCTACTCCAAGAACAAGAAGGGATGCGTGGTGATAACAATTTTGGTACATAGCTATAAATCGAGGGCCTTTCAACGCGATACTATATCGCAATGCGAGGTGAGATGAAACCTTAGTTTATTTTGTGGTAATGAAGATGGGTTTTCTTTCTTTTGCTGCCCAGAAATTATGTCTGTAAATCCCATTCTGCAGCAGTGTCCAGGCTACAGCTTCAGTCTTTTTCCAATGTGTAATTTTCTTTTCTATCGTGAAAAAGAAAATGAAAAGAAAAAAGTTTTTTCATTCCCTTGACCACATCCACTTTTTTTTTTTTGCATCTTTTAATTTCTTTTATTAATCAAACTTGCCCTTTTTTAGGACTTCTGGGCAATGTTCTCTAAAAAAAAAATTCTGATTAGATGTAAATTCACTCAATTCAGTGAAGCAATGCTCCATTTGGTTATTCATGTTCTTTCCATCCAATAACACATAACATAAAGATAAGATTCAAATCCAATTTTACCTATGCTCGAACCCAATTTTACTTATGCTCAGTAAAGTTCATAACTTTATCGAGTTCAAACAAAGTTTCACCTGTTTGTTACCAAATCAACCCAGGGTTTGGCCACCTCTAACATTGATTCAACAATGGGGTTATATTTACAAGGTTACTTTTTGAAGAAAAAAAAAACATTCAAACCAACTTCAAAAGCTTAGGCCAACAAATGAATTGACCATAGTGAAATCTTAAAATCTTAATATAGTAAAAGTGTAAAAGACAGACAGGAAAGCCATGTGAAGAAAACCAATGATTGAATGCAGGAGAAAAGAGCAGAGTGATAATTCATCAGATTTTAGCCTGAAAAGTCTGAACATCTCATCAAAACTGAACCACCACCCCATTCATTAATTTCATGCCTCACAATATAAGAAAACTCTGCATAGTTTCATGTGCCCATCAGAGCAAACTTTGAACAAATTATGACAGGCATCTTCCCAGCACAATAGTAGTAGTAGTAGTAATAGTAGTAATAATAATAATAAACTAGCCATCTATAGTGAGATCCAAGAAGCAAGCCTATACATATACAAGTTTTTTTTTTTTTTTTTTGATTCAATATTCTCTCTTTAAAAGAAAATTCTCAAGACAAATTTGCGATCAAGGGATAAAGTATGCATGATGAGATTTTTATTCTATGAAGAAGTACCTCCACCTCCTTTTATGGAAAGCACTTGCCCACTGGAGGAACCACGACTAATTAAATTGGAGTCTAGGAACAAAACGATGACAGTGATGTCATCGTGGAAGTGTCTTCTCACGCCCCGGTCTATCTTTTTCAAGTCCGCGTACCTCATTTCTCTTTTCTTTGCAGCTTCATGAAGTGCAGCTTTTATAAGTTTCCTGGCAACACCCTATAGAAACAAGGAAATGTTAGCATACTAGACAACACCGGGAAAAGATGATTTAATACAACAATCAATCAGTCTTACATTGCGGGGGCAGGTGTTGACAATTTCAACCGCCTCTTGGTTGCTAAGATGCTCCCATAAGCCATCCGATGCAAAGATAAGAAAGTGATCTTCAGGGAGGAGTTTTTGAACATGTATCGATGGCTCAGCTTTAAGGATTGGTGTCTCAAAGGGTTCGTCTAGTCTAAACTTAGGCAACAAAGGCTCCCTATTAAACTCCGGTCTCTTGAAATATGCATCGCCAATGGATCTTGAAATCTGCAAGAGAATTTCATATCAGCAGTGTCGTATTCATGAAAATAATGACATATTTTTGAATCAAACTACAAGGGTCTCATTTCAACTCTTTGAAATATTAATAAAGATTTAATGACCAACATTTTCATCTAGTGATTATGCACCAGCAAAAATACCTTGAAGGAAAGAAGGCGCGGGCATTAATTATGCCGGTATATTTAATTAATAACGACAATTCAGCAACGCGTACTGAAATACCCAACATAATGTGCCATGTTCTCATTCTGTTATGGAGGACCATATGTGGCGGTATTACCTAGTGATAAGCTCAAGGATCTAGAGTCCTATCTGATTGGTGGTGATGGAGATGATAGTGACATGGTAACATGAACAGGGAAATTCTTTTTTCTTTTTTTTTTTGAAAAAAAAAAAAAAACAAATTGACAACAACAACCCAAAAAAAGAAAAGGATTAGGTCCTGAATCTTGCAGAACGCTAGTAACTTGCACATGAATTCCAAATTAAGCAAACAATGTTATGGTAAAGTGAAACTAAAATGCCCCTTTTCTATTGGGGGGGGGGGGGGGGTGGGGGGTGGGGGTAGATCACGGGGTGTCTTGAGCAGGCCCTAACGGTAGGAGGCACCTTTAAGACAGTACCATACTCAGACTAATCCACAGTACCATACTCAGACTATTCCATCCCCGTTCGCACCGGGGCCAGCCCAAGGGGCGAAGTGCTGGCCAGATTAGTTTTTCCATACAAGAGGGGGTTCAAACTCCCAACCTCTCTTTAAGGGACAAGAGTGCACGGCCACTCACGCCAACCAAGCTGGTTACCATTAAAATTAGTAGGCGCAAAAAGAAGTTCCAAATAAGTCACCTGTATAAGTCCCTTGACACGCCAAACCTTGTGCTTTAGAACTACAATCTGTGGATCATCGGGATGCAACGACTTAAGTTCCTCCCTAACAGATTCCAAATTTGCATTGTGTTCGTATGACAACTGTATAGCTTTAACATCTTTCAGATGCTTCTCAACTCTTCCTAAAACCGCACGTGAATCCCCAGCATTCGCAATATACAGCATACCATTGCATACAATGCCAACCAAACAACATGATCCCACAGAAGCAATTTGAGGTTTCATTAACCACTGCTTTCTCACTAAGGAAAGGAACTCCTCTTCAGTTTCCAAATATGCTTTGGTTATAACATCAGCTGACATTTCTTGATTTTCCGATGTAAATTCTGCATCACAAATACAACTATCAAGTGAGTCACACACCCAAGAGCAAGCAATCTTGCAAAACCAAATTTAAAAGTTAATCCAAAAAACCACTATATTCTCCTCTTTTGTTTTTTTCCTTTAGGTTACTAATTCTCTAGGTTAGCAAAATCTAGAGTGTGTATTTCTTACCTGGTATAGCAGTAGAGATATTTACACAGTAAAAGTCAGTTTCGTGCTACAACTAGCAAAGGGGAAAAAATGGCATACAAGGAAATTCCGATTGGATAAAGGATATAGCAAAAACGAAAAACATACTCTTGACATTGTTGAAAAGGTGATCACATATGAAATGGGCAGCTTCTGGACCTGCATGGCCATCATAAACTCCAACAAACGTCCCTTGAGGACCCGTCTCAACCGAGCTCAATGACCCTGATTCGAGCTGGCACTGATCCTCCAGTACATTATTTGCTTGAATTACAGCCATTGAGAATTCCCCATTGACATGATGCCCTAAATCTTTATACCACAACAACCCATCCACCCGGCCATTCGGGTCTCCCCCTCTACTACTCCAATCTTGGCCCTCATCCTCAATGGTAGGCCTCCAACAAGGGTATACAATTCTTCTCCATGTAGTAGTCACCATTCCTTACATATTATGCTTGCAATAACCCTCAAGTCTCACCCAAATGACCCAGCAATCACAACACTCATTAAATCTCCCTTACCCCTTATACCCCAATCCCTTCACCTAAAAAAGTTTCAGTCTTTGCGCATATATTAATCGAGGTAAACAGCATTTAATCTGAAAATCAAACAAAAAAACCGGAATCAAACAAAAGGGCAACCCCAAAACTGCATTACAAATTAACAGCACGACACAAAACACACAACCCAGAAATTAAAGAAAGCAAGAAACACATACCCATGTGCAAACAATCAAACGAGGGATCAAAATCAATGCCTTGAATCCCCGCTCCTCAAGATCCCATTTTTATCGTCAGAATTTGCACGATCGGTTCTACTGAGAGAGAAGAACAATTGTTTTAGAATGAGGAAAGCAGAGGAGGGTGGGCGGGGTGGAGGAGGAGTTGTTTTTTCCCTTTTTTATTTTTTTTTGGGTTTTTTCTTTATTGTAAAAAGAAAGAGAGACGGCAAAGAAAATTCTGAAAACAGCGTAAATATAGAGAGGTCAGATGGAGCTTTGAATGAGCTCTTTTCTAGGCAATTTCGGGTCTCCAATTTTATTTTTTATTTCCATCTTTTAAAATAAAATTAATATTTTCTGTTATTTATTTTTTATTATTTTAATGAGTTTAGGGATTCGTTTGACTTTGACCAGCGATAAACCAGTAAGCTACCGCCCTTTTAGGCATACATCTCTCTCCCCCTCTCATTTTATTTTAGTTTCAATGAACACACAAAAATAAATAAATAAAAATAAAGGATATAAAATTCTTGGGATTTTTTTTTTCAAATAATATAATTTTTTTATTCAATGTACTGTTTATGGTTTTGATTTATTCATAAGAATGTTGGAATCTTTAAACTCATTAATAGTTATCCAAATTTTAGTCATTTTCATATTTAAATATTCACAATTTTGTTATCAAAAAAAATATTCACAATTTTAAGTTATTACCAATTCTTTTTATTTTTTAAAATTATACTGTTATGATAGACATACTCTCCTTGAAACGAGATTCATATTATTTCCTCACAACAAAATTACCTAAAAATGAAAATAAAATGAAAATATTAATTAACTTTATTCTTCCATCATACAAGGTAAAACACTTTGTAATCTAATGCGCCATTTTATTCTCTATACACGATTGATGTGACTCATCCGCATGGGCAACTCAACTGCTCATAGAGATGAAAAGTTAGAAGAATGACAAGGGATCGAGTCTCACCAACGACAGTGTGGGAGTTACCTCTTAAAGTAAGGGGGCTTTGAGTTATCATGATCTCCAAAAAGGGAAAAATGGTAACATTTTTTTATTACTTTTAGTTAGACTTTTTTTACGCGTGTGATGACTTTAATTTATAAATAAACTTTTTTTTTAAAATCAAGTATCATACATCTACCATCCACAACAAAGTCACTACACATGATATGACAAGTTTTAATAGTTTTTTTTTTTTTCAAATGTCAATCTATTAGTCACATCAAGACTCAGCGTGACTTTGTTGTGAGTAATAGATGTAGAGATTTCTAGAGTTCTAGCATTTTTCTGAATTTAATATAAAGATAAAAAAAAAATTATTTTTTCAGAGTTATCCTAATTGTGATAATTAACCAGAAAAGTTTAAGTAAGAAAACAATAAAATAAATGTGAAATTTGAAAGTTTACATATTTCTCAAGGTTTAA